GCCAGCACCGAGGCCCGGCTGGAAGGGCCGGGGGCCGGGGAGCGGGCCTCCCTCCGGCTCAAGGATGCCAACCGGGCGGCCCTGGGGAAAGTGCTCCATCCCGCAAGGAAGTGATGGGCGTCTGTCCTCCCCTCTTACCTCCTGGGGTTCAGATGACGAAGACTGACTTCTGTGAAAGGCCAACACTGAATGTCTGTTCCACATAAAGTCATCCACTGGGACCACCTGCCAATGCTGTGTCACCAAAGTTGCAGCCCTAGAGGCCAGGGCCCAACGCCCATGGCACCGACTCCTGCTGCACCGACGTTCCCCAAGATGATGGACTGGCATGTCCGCACCCGGCCCACAAGTGGACCCAGAGAGCCCCGTCCCCTAAACAGACCACAGAGACCCATGAACGACTCAGACGAGGAAGATGACATGCCTATGTAACGAGTGAAGATTTTGGGCCAGTTTTTATACATCAAAGACATTTTTTATATTATAAAATCAAATGTTTTGTTTTAGTTCGTTCTTTTTGCGGCGTGAAATGCCTCCCAGGGGAAAAATGATGAAGGTGTTTTTATCTTCTTGTTTTCCCTGGCCTCAGGGTTCCACCTGCCCACACACCGTCCATTGCTGGCAGCTGGACTTATGCAAGCCCTTGGGTGTTCTGAGGTTGGCTCCATCTTACTGAAGTCTCTCTGCCTTGCTCCCCTCTATCTGCTGACTTTGGTGAAGGTTTGCGTGTGAACAGGAGGGAGAATGAGACTGGTGGACACAAATGGGGTGCCCCCGTGTTTTAGAGAGGCTCCCTGGGCAGTGGGACAGGCCTCCTCTGCAGATGAGTGGCAGCCCCTGGGAGAATGCTGGAGCTTCCAGAATTCAGAGGTGCCATGTTTTGATGGAAGATCATCAGACTTCAGCTGAGCACATCTTTCCGGTTCTGTGTTTTCTCACTTGAGTGTCTGTTGTGAAACTGAGTGAAGGCTGCTATGACTTGTGTTCACTCTAGTTACAGGGAATAACAAGCCCTTCAATCTCCCAGTCTTTCTCCTTTACTAATGTGACCTGGAGCCTGGAGACAGTCTCTCTCTCTCTCTCTCTCAATAATACTGTTTAATGTTGATGCCTGTTCTGTGGTACAGTGGTTTTAAATCCTGAGAAAACCAGATCAAGTTTTCAAAAACAGACAGAAAAGAAAAGAAAAAGAAGTTGCTTTCAGAAGATTTTATATTCTCAGGAAAATTTTGAAAAACAGTTAGGCTTCATTCAAAAGAAAGGGGAAAACGTGCCATTTCTACCCAGTGCCGATTTCACTATTTCCGTCTGACTAACTGGGAAATGAGGGAATTCTTGTCACTTTTTTGTTATTAAAAAATTGCTCCTCCCCCACTTTTTTTTTTCCACTTTTGGTCACTTATCAGTGAAACTTTGTTTCAGATCTGATAGTGATAGATGGATTTTGGCAAATATAATGTATTTGTGATGAATCCATACAGTTGATGTTACAGTCTCCCTCCTGTAGAGTGCTTGTTGCCCTCCATCCCAATTAATTGGAAACTCTGAGCTTCTATAAATCTGCTCAGCTGAAAAGATAAATTTTATGGTTGAAGAAGTAAGGCACCTAACCACAAAACCTCTTGTAAAAATAGCCCTGAGAGGTATTTCCAGAGCTCCACAAAGCTGGTTATGAGAATCCTGAGCCATTTTTCATCATCTCAAAAAGCCTAAAATATCATGTATTTAATCATACAGACAACAACATTAAAAACAGAGCCCGCAAAAAAAAAAAAGGTCAAAATGTGTGGATTTGTGGGTAGTGCCAGGGTTGAGACCCCTTGATGGGACCCTAGAAACCAGGGTCCTAGTCCCTGTTCCATCACTGATGCTGTGTGGCTTTGGCAAGTCACTCCCTCTCCTTTAATCCTGTTTCCTAGTCTGCAGAGGTGGGGGCATGGCCCTGATGACGGCCTTCAAGAGTCCTGCTGACTCCAGGAATCCAAGTCATCATAAACACCCGAGGACCCATCTCTGCCTGGGATCAGCTTCCAGAACTAACCTCCAGCATCTCCACGGTAGAGGTCTCACACGAAGGCCTGCTTAGAAGAAAGCACCTTCAGAATGAGTTGTTGCTTTGAAATCTAATAAGCTGAGGTTCCTGAGAAGTGGTGTTTTGCTTAGCCCTGTGGACAACTTGTATGCATCTGTGTGAGCAGGTGATCATTCTATTACCTTTTATCGGTAGTAAGCTTGGAAAAATAATTTAAGTGTATAATGCAGAAATGTAAATAAGTTTCTATATAAATTTAAGATGAACTGAATGTATTTAAAGGTCCATTTATATGTTCTTTTATGTAACGTGTAGTTTAATAAAGTTCCTGTTTATGGGATTGGTGTCTTATCCTCACTGCTTCTGTTGGGGTGTGCGCGTGATCCTGGTGGGTGAGGATGTCATCTCCTGCACAGTGAGAAGGTGGGATGCAGGAGTTGCCAGAGGGTTGGGACAGAGCAGTCCTATCCTCAAAAGGCTCAAGAGCCAAAATTAGGCTGTTGATGTGTGTCTTCTTGGTAGCGCAGTACCTGCAGTTAACTGAGGGCCTGGGGAGCGGGCCTTGCGCCAGACCTGCGGGGATGCGGGCATGCACCTGGCACGCAGGCCGCGGATGGAATGTTCAGCACCCGTACTTGCTCACGTTATTCCATGTTGCGGGCCAAGCTTTGCGTAATCTCCGTGGGGCCGGCAAGTCTGGATCTGCTCCTGGGTGTCCTCATGTGTTTTGGCTCAGGACACTGTTGGGAAATCACAGCTCACCTCTGTGGTTGCCTCAGGAATGAGCAGAGAGGGAGGGAGGCAGGCTCTGATTTGAAACCCACTGTTGGTGCTTCTTTGAAAAAAAAGACCTCATATACCTGGGGTTTCTTATCAAGTTTTAGTCCTAGCTGCTCTCTCAATCTGTCTGACAGTAGATTAGAGGAAGATCCTGGGCTCAGGCACCCACGGATGAGAGAATAGATGGTGTTGTGAGTTGCTGCCCTGGGGACATTTGTAGCCTGGTTTTGCCTGGGTTGTAAGCAGTTTGGGATGCTGGGCCCCCTCCCTATGTCGTCAACTCTGTAGTACTAGGGGTCACAGACATAAACCAAAGCAAGGCTTTTTATTTTCACAGTGGGTCTCAAGGAGTTTTATTTTTACCCTTTTATTTTATGGCTTTCACAAGGAGCCTGTGTTCTAGTCTTCCTCCTGAAAATACACGTTGGGTTTAAAGGGGCCACAGTTTCCTAATTGTTCATTCAAGAGTCTGCAAATTTATGTATTCCAGAAAGAGGCTCCAGAATGGTTCAGTAAAACTATTCATTCAGGCTTCCAAGGTGCACAGGTTCACCAACTTCTGCCTCTACCTCTTCTCATCTGGCAATGATGATATTTTGCAATTTCACAGAATTTTCTATTGAAACTTAAACTTTATTCTTAATTCTTCATTGTACCTTTGCTTCATGCTTCAGTCCTACCAAAAAAAAATTTTTTTCAGTATGTGTTCTTGAACACATATAAGCATTAAACATATAAACCAAATTTGAATGAGACATTGCATCTGGTCACTCGCTAAGTACTTCTTAAAATTCTTTGGGCTGTGAGCACAAACAAAATGGGTGACTGTGGGTCTGCAGTCATCCTACTCAGCATCCAAGGAGCAACTGTGCATAGCTTAGACCAAATCCGGGACAGACTTGAAAATATAACCCAGAGTAAGCTCTCCGGGGGTTGTTTTCATCTGCAGATACCTTCCAGTAAAATGTCCTATGGCTCACTGGGTTGCCTCAACGAAGATAAAGGTAACATTACTATGGTTGAAGAAAGTGGCTTTTCTTCTAGGCCAGAGCCCACAATCAGGTTTTGGCTCCCTGGCCGGCAGCTGGGAGAATTGGACCCCACTGCAGGAGGGGTCACTGCCCCAAGCAGCACTCACAATCTCCTTATTCACGATTCCTTGACCGAGAGCCCACCAGGAGTCTGGCACAACCTGACCATCAGCCTATGGACTGAAGGTGGCTCAGCCTGTTGATGGGATGCTGCTTGAGGGCCTCTAAAGTGCATTCATGCCAGGCCTCTGGAATCAGGGCTTGGGCGTTGTCCACAGCCTCTTTGGAAACATTCAAAGGCTGAGTCATACAGGCAGTCCCTACCTCATAAGCAGGTGATGTGCCCCATGTTTGCTCACAGCTATATTTGAGGAATTCAGAATGCACATTCCCAGAGCAGCCATGTCATGCATTGTAGCTAGGTTTCCAGGACAGCCCATTAGAAACCTCTTTAACCCTTCTATGTGCAGACTGTGGCACTGACATTTCTATAGAAGAGAACCTCACCTGTAGCAGCGTTCCGCAAGGAAAACACCAGGGTGCCAAGAACATGCCTCCCCTACTTCGTGGCATCGAGTAGAAGTTAAGGCACCACCACTGATGTCAGGGGTCATGTTCACTCTACACTGCCAGTGAAGAGAAATCCTCTCCCCTCTTGGGTCAGACACAGGAGCTCCATCTCCTAGGCCAACACCAGTAAATATGATATGGGCCCTTTCTCTTTGGGAGACGACCTTTCCTTCCTGACAGCATACTGGCCCAGAAAGGTGAGAGCCCTGCACTTTCAAGGCTGAATTCAGCCACACTCCCCTTCATCCTGATAGCCAGTGAAAGGGGGGCGGGGCTAGTGGGGAGGCCAACTGCATGGCCAGAGCCAGGTCTTTTGAGCCAAGGGCAGCCAGCAGTGGGGCCAGTGGGCCACTTCCGTGAGAGCTGGGTGTTTGCTGTGGGTAGTGAGCTCTCCATGACAGTGACAGTGTCAGAGCACCAGTGGCACCCACTTTCCATGGGGTTGAGTGCTTCGGTATGCAACAGGACACCCAGGGCTGGTGGGGGATTCTGGGTCCCACCCCAGACCTACAGCAAGTCGGAATCTTTCTGCTGGGACCCCCAGATTTGCATGAAACAACTCCCCAGTGATTCATTTTCCCACCCTGCTGTTGAGAACCAGTGGGCTGGAGAGAGGGCAGGGGCTAGGTTCTGATGCAGGGCTCATGAGTTGTTTTCTGGGCCGGCCTCCTCTCCGAGCCTCCACCAGCTAATGCAGGTGTTTCTCCCCCAGGCAGATGATGCAGAAGCATTCACTCTGAGCTCAGTGCCTGGCTGAGGGGAGAGCTGCCTCTGGGCCCCAGGAAGTGGTCAAATTTGGATCTTGCTACAGAAGCACCTCCACTGGCATGCTTGGCTCCTCCTTTGAGTCTGGAGCTCTCAGTAACGCAGCACCCAAGCGTCCGGAACAGTGGCTCCAGGGGAACAGAGGCTGTGACACTTCACTCAAGTCTCACAATGGCTACCTTTCAGGTCAGTGAAGTAATTCGCGAGAAGTGCTGAGCAATGCCACACCCATCTGAGGGCCCAGGGTGATTTTTGTCAGCAAAACTGCTCTTTGGAGCCCTGCTCCCTGGGCCTCTTGGGTTCTGGAGTTTTCCACCGGCTTCACGAGCGTCACTTCAACTCTGTTCTTGGGAGCTTTGCCTAGTGGCCGCCGCGGTTCCCTCTCCCGCTGAGCGCTGGGGCCGGGCGGGCGCATCTGCGCTGACCTCACCGGTTAGAAAGGGGGTGGGGCAGCTCTCCAGGGTGCTGACTCAGCGCGGGCGGGAGCCGCCGCCCTCACGCGAGGCCTGCAGAACGCCGACACTCAGCCCCCTTCGTCCTGTTTTGGGATGTAGAAGCCCTCCCTGGAAGGAGCACTGCGCCTGGGGTTCTTTCCAAACCTGTCAGCACAGAATAATTTACTTTTCACCACTCAGTGCTGTAAACAGCTTCCCATCGGACCGGGGAAACTGCTGAGGATCTGGACAGTCTGACCACTTCCAGGGGCACCACTTTGCCAGTTTGAGGAGTGCAGGAGAGGGGCCTGAACTATATTTGGAGTAAAATGATGGTTCAGCTTTGGAAAGAACAGTGCCTCTATTCAGCTGTGGCTGAGTGGAGACGTCAGCTTCACTGGTCAGCTGTATTTTCTTCTTTCCCAAGGCACCAGCGGTTCCCACCAGCTGATTCATCTCCAGGGAGGAGAGGGAAGAGGTGGGCTGCCTGCAGGGCAGGCTTCCTGCCCCTGCTGAGAGACCGAAGAGCAGCCTCCCCGCCCCCACGGGGCCTCCTACTCCCAGTTCAGGTTTGAATACAATAGAAATAGGAGTCACCAGATAGGCACCTGGATAAGGTGTCTGCATCTCTCAGCCCTTTCCCGAGCTTTTCATAACCAGATCATAATGGGCTGAACTCTGACTGGTGCTTTTCTCCCAAGAACCTTGCAGCTTTGCAGACAGTTACTCACTACACATCCACTGTCCCAGCGACCCAGTGGGAGAAGAAATTTGTCATTTCCACTCTTTGGTGGAAGAATTCCTTCTGGGAGAGAGGTAGAAGGGGAGCCCATGAGCAGTAGTGCCACACGGCTACCCAAGGCACCATCTTTGGCCACATTCATGGGGTAACAGTATGCGACATGATATCCAGCTGGTCAGTCCACATTTGGACCCTGCCGCCAGCCTGGGACACCTTTCAGGAGGAAACTTGATGAGCTGGAGTATGATGGAGGAGAATGACAGAGACAGCTGAGGTTTTGGGTGCCAGGCTTGAGGATGAGGACATCCAGATTTTAAACTGAAAAAGCAACACTAAGAACCTGGTGGTGGAATCAATCTTATTCTGTGTCATTTCAAAGAAAAATGAAGATGAGTCTTCATTCAAGTACAGGAGGAGTTCACACTGAAGCTGCTTGTCCCCCTTCCTGGGCTGGAGGTCCCTCAAGTCCCTTCCACCTGGAAGACTCCAAGCATGTGAAATGGCTTCCCCAGATTCAGTTGCTGAGTTGACCCAGTAACCCCTGAAAGCCACTTTTCCCTCAAAGGTGTCACCTCCTGGGAGGACCAGCTGTACCTTAATAGGTTACAAGAAGAAGCTTCATGACAGTCATCCTTGTCCTTGAACCAAAAAGCACTTGTAGAGGGTCTTCTGGGGGTGGGGTCTCCTGGGGATGGGGCCCTCTGTTGCCATGGGCAGCCTCTGCTCTTTCCTCTTGGATTTGTCCGTAGGGCAGCTCTCAGAAATGCAAGGACAGTCACCTTATGACAGATGCTCAGTAAGAATTCAAGGAAAGCTTGTGATTCTGGAAAGTTCTGAGTCTTGCAGGGATTCTAAAACAGGGCACTCAAGCCTATGTCGTCCAGTGGCTCCTCAGAAGCCCAGCCACCTCCAAGTCCAGATCACATACTTCTCTCCTCCTCCGACCCTTTTCTTAGGAAATTGATCGTTCCCTCCCCTGAACTCTCAGAGCACTTGGAGCTAGAACACTGATCCCCACCTGCCTTGTAGAACAGTTGGTTGTGTTTGACTCCTGAACTAGGGCTGAGCGCGTGTCAAGTGGAGATTAGGGTGAGTCCTCACCCGTGGAGCCCTCCGGGACCCGGCTCAGGCCGGCACTAAGTAGGTGTTCAGTGCGCATGCGTGGGTAGATGAACTCGAATGGGTGATGGGAAGACTCGGGGACCCGCGATCAAGGACCACTGCCGGGATCGCTCCCTCACTGGGAAGGTCTTTGCTTTTGCCTGGTAAGGCACCCAGGACCCCCAGCTGAAGGACCCATGGAGGGAGCAAAGGGCTTCTGGGAGAGGAGGGCCATGTGAGGCTGGAGAAGGGACAAGAGCAAAGATAAAGACAGTGCTGGGTGCCCCAGGCGCTGGGTCTACGCTTCATATTAAGAGCAAGGGAACCTCGTGGCCACCTCGCAAACCCTCAGGCCTGTTGGGAAGAAACTGGACACCCCTCAGCCACATCCTTGGCCCCTGAGAGCAGAGAGAAGCAGCCACCGGGCATTTCACATACAACCCTCGCATCCTTGATTTGCGCAGGGTGCTGGCACATTTCCAGGGATGCTGGGGAGATAGACACAGCTAGGAGCCTGACCTCTACCAGCAACTAGGCTATTGCCGCTGGGTCATTTTATTAGCTGTGTGACTTTGGACAAATGGCTTAACACCTCTGCTTGGAAATCACAGCCCTATGTAACTTGAGAGCAGTTAAGAGAGGTAAATGATTGAATATGTTGGACCGTGCAAGTGTTTACCATCATCACTGTTCTGGGTCAGAGCCCACACCTGGCAGCTTCTCGGGGGCCCAGTGATGGGAGATAGCTCACTTGAAGGCCTAGAGACCTACGGGCCTCAGGCAGGGGGTCCAATAGGTTCCATGGCTGCCTGCTATCTCGGTGCACTGGGTCCTCCCCTGGACTCTGTCCCTATCTGGCTGCGTGACCTTCGGCAGGTCTCTGAACCCAGCTTTGCGTCTACTCCTGCTTCCTCCTGCAGCAGAGTAGGCAGGGCAGGGCTCCATGACACCTGCTCACACATAACTAGGCAGGCTCCGTCTAATTTATTGGATCTATAAAATGCATCTGCTTCCAAGACCCATGATCTCATCCTTCTGGCCAAAGTCTTCAGGGGATTCCCTCCCACCCGGACTCCTTGTGTCCTTCCTCTGGGAAAATGTTCGCCCAACATGTATATGGAGGGAAGGTGCTCTTGACAGCAGGAGGCTCCTTGTTGCTTCAGGGAGAGGCCAGGGGAACACGCTGTGCCTGGAGTCTCCCTCAAGGTCAACGAAACTCAGCAGGAACATGAGGAATGGCAGGCTCTGTCTCCAAGGCCCAGCACACCCCTTCCTTCCTGACTCTGCTGTGGGACCACCTGAGACCCCGTCTGCCTAAGAGGGTGTGTCCTTTGCCTGTTGACACCTGCCACCCTGGCTGCAAGGAAAACAGTCAGACAAAGGAGGTCACCCAGTTCTGGGGAAAGAGCAGAGGCCTGGACTTCCTGAGTCCTCCTCGTCCTGCCCTAGGTGACCCAGCTTACGCATCCTCTCTATATGTCTGTTTCCTCATTCCTCCAGGGAAGCTGGGGGGCCATGCCCTCCCACTTCCCATCGGGGTTGATGTTCGTTCTATGTTTATAATGGTAGAGTTTTTGGCAAGTGTGTGAGGGACGCTGAGGCCACACTGCAGCCCAGCCCTTCTGCTCCACTCACATCTTGCACTAGGGGCCTCGCCCACCCTCCCAGAAGGGGCTCAAAGAGCACATCCGTTGCTGGCCTTTCTGGGGACCTGTGAGAGTGTGGGTTATGAAGACGAACAGACCTGGTTCAAATCCCAGCTCTGCTAACTGATTACCTTGGGGAAAACAAGTTACCATCTGGGTCTCAGTTTCTCACCTGTGAAAGGGAAAAATCATGCCCACTTCTCGAGGTTGTCATTAAAACGGGTGATACATTCTGGTGCATGAAAGGGGCTTAAAAAATGGTAATCAGGATTACTAGGGAAGTCTGTTCCGTGAATGTTTTCCTGTTTGCTTAGTGACAGTT